CTTCAGTGCTCCTTCTGTTCAGGGCCAGAGTGTGATTTACATGTCACATATATGTAATATGCAAGGACTCACATATTACTCCCGTATCTTCTGCCATAACATAGAAACAGCTAAAACATGTCTGACTACGAAAATCATTTCTCAAACCTTTATGTATAAAGTGTTCTCCCCTTCCCAGCCACTGAGCTGCTGTGTGAGAATCACTATCAGGAAGCCTGCACTGTTAGTTGAAAACTGAAGCAAAATCTTCTGTCTTCTAATGGCTGTACTAGAGAAAAGTTAAGAAATCTGAACTCATTCAGATTAAGCATCATTTAACCTTAAGCATGACTCGAGGCACTATATATCCACAGTGGGAAAAATAGCACATAATGCAGCTTGTAATTAGGTGTGAAAAGCTGCTTTTGCCGCAGCAATTAATCTGTAGGTGGAAAAAGAAATATGATTTGGACCATATAAGCATCTGCATTCTGCACATATCAGCAGTTTCATCTGAACGAATGCTGAGGGAGTCTAACATAAAACAAAACAAAAATATTGTCACACCTTTAAAATGAATGATTTATTTCAGTGTAAACTAAAACAGAGAACTATGTCATCCTTTAGGCCTATTCCCAGCATATGCACAGGATGAATATTATTATTTCTGAAGTGGAGACATGCATCTGTTAATATGTGATGGTCAGTTGCATAAGGAAATCTTGATAAAATGTCAACTGCCAATGTGCAGTCCCATCAGTCATCTGTATGGCCTGGCATAAAACATATGGCATAATATTGATATTGATCAATGGTTGAAAATATGGCAAAATAATATAAAGCTTACAAGATCAGCTAATTTTAAGGAGAATATATACAAGATGTTTTATAGGTGGCATATGACTCTGGAAAAACTATTGAAGCTGTATACAGATGTATCGAATGTGTGTTGGAAATGTGAAGCACAAGTGGGAAGCTATTATCATATGTGGTGGTCATGTAGAGTAGTGAAACAGTATTGGAAAAGAGTACATGCTGTGTTGCAGCACATATTGCTTTGTAAGGTGACATTAACTCCAGAACTGTTTTATTGAGTATGATACCTGATAACATAGATAAGACAAAGAAATATATAGTTATATACAGTACATAGTTACTGCAGCCAGAATTCTCTATGCCAAAAATTGGAAAAGTCCAATGGTACCAAAAAAGAATATCTTATAGAGAAGATACGGGAAACAGCGGAAATGGACATTTTATCAGAAGTGATGAAGGACTGTCCTTTACAAAAGGCAACAGAAAGATGGGACTTATTCTACAAATGGACTGAATCAACAGGCAGCGTATGAAGAGCATATACAGTGGTGCCTCACTTAGCGACGTTAATCCATGCAGGAAAAAACGTTGCATCTGTTAATATGTGATGGTCAGTTGCATAAGGAAATCTTGATAAAATGTCAACTGCCAATGTGCAGTCCCATCAGTCATCTGTATGGCCTGGCATAAAACATATGGCATAATATTGATATTGATCAATGGTTGAAAATATGGCAAAATAATATAAAGCGGCCATTTTGTTTACCCGGTGGCCATTTTGAAATCGCCAATCAGCTGGCCGAAAATGGGGGCTTTGCGATGATCGCTTCCCCGCGATCATCGCAAAGTGAATTTTCCCCATGGGGCGATCGCTTAAACTACGTTGCTAAGCAATTTTGTCGCTCAATGGAGCGATCGCTAAGCGAGGCACCACTGTATTGAAATGAGAACTTAAATCTGGAAGGCACAAAATAGTAAAAAGAGTAATTTGGAATTTTGATATGGCAATATGTATAGAATGGACATTAGTATGTTATTGTTTCTCCTCTTCCCATTTAACCTCAATTCCCCTTTTCCTTTTTGTCACCCCTTGTTAAATTAAAAAAAAGCCATCTGTATGGCCTTTACTCCATGGTAAATGCAAAACAAACTTTATACCAAGGGCCAATATGTGAAAATGGAATACATTTAGTCATCTGCATCAGTGGTTCCCAACCTTGGGTAACCCAGATGTTCTTAAAATGCAATTCTCAGAAACCCTAGTCAGCACAGCTGGTGGTGAAGGCTTCTGGGAACTGGAGTTCAAGAACACTTGGGTTACACCAGGTTGGAAACTACTGATTTACATCAACATTTTGACCCATACAAACAGCCAATGTCAGTTGAAAACTAATTGCCCACCTTCCAAGAGTCTGTGAAAGGAGATAGTTCAGGTCATTGTCCAAGTCAAATATGCAAGAAACCTGTGTCTTCCACACAGACTGCACTCCTCCAGGATACTCCATTCTGTCTAACTTCCCATTTTGTTTTCTGACCATGCCAACAGTCAGTTGTCACTGAACATGGTTAGTGCTTTCTGAATTATTTTTAGAGTTCCCTTCCTCGGGTATTTTTCCTCACCATGCTCTTCTGGAAGTCAATTGATAAATCCTTCCTTGGCATGGATGGTGCCATTTCAGGTCTTGGAAACATTATGTTTTTGGATCAAAACTCCCAGATTCCCCTGTAGGGATACTGTACTGGCCATGTGGAAGGATTCTGGGAGTTGTAATCCCCACTTCCATTAATTGTTTCAAGTTCTGTTGACTACATGAATTTTGGTACGTGAAGAATTGAGGTCAAAATGATTCCTTGAGTGGAATTACAGTGAAGACTTTTAGCAGCAAGAGACACACGTGCTTTAAAATAAAACGATCTGTGTTAAAAAAGATGGGTGGGAGAAGAAGCACGGTTATGCGTATTAACTTTGTTGAATGTCAAGGAAGGTACTTTATTGCATGCTACAACCGTTGGTAAAGAGCTGCCTTTTCACCATGCATAAACAGCTAATTTGCCGTAAAAGAGAAAGGGATTTCATTCGAATCAATCCTACAAACAATCCAGCCAATTTTTTTAAAAAACATAACACTTTATAGACAGTAAAGGGGCAACCATGGCCCTCAAGATACTTTGGAACTCAACAACTCATATGCTTACCAGACCATTGCAAAGGAAACACATCTGGAAGATCCACCCCTGCAATGTGAGCTGGAAATGAAGCAGCCTCTTTTTGAGGAATCTTAAATTGTCTAGGGGATGCGGATGGCGCTGCGGGTTAAACTGCTAAGTCCCTGGGCTGTCCATTGAAAGATTATCAGTTCGAATCTGTGCAACGGGGAGAGCTCCCATTGCTCGTTGCAGCTGCTGTCAATCTAGCAGTTTGAAAAGCACGCAAATGAGAATAGATGAATAGGTGCCACTTTGGTGGGAAGGTAATGGCATTCCGTGTCTAGTCATGCTGGCCATGTGGCCGCAGAAAGTGTCTATGGACAAATGGCAACTCTTCGGCTTGCGAACAGGGATGAGCACCAGCCCCTAGTCGGACACCATTGGACTTAATTGTCAAGGGGAACCTTTACTTTTACCTAAAAGACTGTCTATTTGTGTTGTTTTATTCGTGGTGAATTGCCTTCAAGACTTTGTAAAGAAACTTGTTATAAATCATATGTACTGCAAAAACAAAAGCATTGTGACACCTTTAGGACTCAGGGATTACTATCCATGTGTTCAGAAGATCAACGGATTGTAATCCACAAATTTCATCTGAAACAATTGTAAGTCTTGCTACTTTCCCATTTCTTTTTGCAATGCACGCTGAAACCTAAAATGCCTTCATTTTTCAGAACACACTCTGCATGTTATCACACAAGCCAGAGATGAAGAAGTTGAACTGACACAGAAAATAATATTTGTGGCGAAATGCAGTTTCTCTGCCTATGAAGCCTTGGTAACAAAGCATCAAGAAATGAACACTAAAATAATTGGGGGCGGCTTTGTGTCGACTTGAGTGTATCATGTTTTTAAGCCACAGGTCAATGCAGACTAGAAATGAAGGCTGGTAATATCATAATCCTCTCAGAGCTGCCAGGTTGGAGGGGGACCCTATAGGGGTCATCAAGTCCAGCCCCTCTCAGGGAGGCCTGGAGAGGATGCCTAAAGCCGTGGTTCTTAACCTTTGTTACTCAGATGCTTTTGAACTGCAACTCCCAGAAACCCCAGTCAGCACAGCTGGTGGTGAAGGCTTCTGGGAGTTGCAGTCCAAAACTCCTGAGTAACCCAAGGTTAAGAACCAGTGGCCTAAAGTACTGCATTACTTCCTCTGACCCTATTTAACACCAAGGGCCATCTTGACCACACACCAAGAACTAAGCTTATGGCTCTTAAACATGAAACCCTCGTCAAACAACGCCCAACTTCCACTTGCGAGAACGGGGCGTTTGTTTCTGAGGCGAAGTTGCTTCCCGCCTAAAGCGGGCGGTGGGGGGGGGAAGGGAAGAGGCCGAAAGGGGCGCGCAAAAGCTGCCAGCCAATCAAAGGCCTCCGCCGCGGCCACCGAGCCTCTCGCTCCCCCCCAAGCGCGAGGGCGTTTACAGCCGCTCGCGCCCAACGGTCATTCCCCGGCCGTCCCAACCACTCCGGGCAAGGCGGTGGGGGGGGTGAAGCAAAGAATGCGGGACGGCACCGAGCGGAGTAACTGAAGGGGGAGGGACTGAAGAAAAAGCCGAAGAAGGGGAGGATAATCCAACCGGTGGGGTGGGGTGAGGAGAAGGACGCCCTTCGTGGGGGTGAAAGGCCCCCGAGTACTGGGGAGCGAGCCTTAAAATGGCTTCAACACCCCCCGCTCCGTTGAGGTGCCGGGGCCCGGACTATACCAAACGGGGAGGGGGGTAGCGTAGATGGGGGCAGCCCTTTCCTCCTCCTGTCCGGGGCGGATGGGGTATCCCGATCAGGGCGGGGAGGGGGAGAGCGGACTGTACCTCTCCAGCAGGGAGGGGGGAATGCCAGGGCACTGTGCCTCTTCCCCCACCCGCGGGAGCCAACGGTTTGTCCCGGACCCGGCGCCATCTTGGGTGCGACTAAAACAACAACGCCAAAAAAAAAACCTTGACGGGGCCTCGCGTTATCCCACGACCATACCCCCAACCCGGACTGGCCCATCGCTTTACCTGAGGGGGTTCAGTGAGGGTGTCGTGTCCGAGCCGGTTCCCAGGGCCCCACCGCAGACGAAACCCGCCCACCTGTCCTCACCTCACAATGGTAGCTGCAGAGCGGGGGGGGGGTGTTCTGTTGGCCTAATTACCATAATCTGCCTAGCAACACACACAAGAGCTGCGAGCTGATTGGGCTGCAGTCACGTTCCCCTAATAGGAGGATGCCAAAAATATTCTCCGAAAGACGGGACTAGATTCGTCATGAAGCTGGGATTTAAAAGTATGGGGCGGGAGGAATATTTGGGAAAGGGACCCCCCCTCCCGTTTTCGAGCCTGCTTTGCTCTGTCCACCAATCAAAGCAACGCTTTCATCCTGCGGCAAGATTGCCGTGGCTCCACCGGCCAATCACGAGCATCCTCTCTATTCAAGTGCCTCGCTCTGGTTGGGGCCGCAAGCGTGAGTCCCGCTGGCGCCCCCTGTAGGAAGGGAGCGTGGCCGCAGTGCTTGGCTGCGCCCCCTAATGGTGGGGTGGGGTATATATGTTTATATTCTTATATAGAGGCAGTGGGTAGCGCCCCCTGTTGATGCAAGTGATATAACTCGAATTATTTGGCAAATGATTCCCTTTAAAAAGAAAAGGGACAGAGCATTCTCAATGTTTTACACACTGGGACATTTTCATTGGGAACGCATGTCTGTGGCCAGCACACTGACATGTTATAATTATTTTATTAATTTCCTATATTGGTACCGCTTTGTCAGTATGGCCAAGATTATGTACATGAGCCTTCTCCTCTTCCACTTTACCCACACAAAAAAACCCTTGGAGGCAGATTTTATTTTATTTTATTTATGTATTTATTTATTTCCTGCCTATCTGGTCTTGGGACCACTCTAGGCGGCTTCCAAACAAGTAAAAAACAACATATAAATGTAACAAATTAAAGAAAAAGTTTTAAATCAATAAACAGATTCTTCAAGATGGGAAGATAACAAAGGGTAAATGAAAAGGAGAAAATTAAGTATTGAATGTATTAATTCAGATCAGGCTGAATGTATGTCAGACACCCTTTGGCCAATATGACTGTGTGGGGATTTGAACCTGGGTCTTGTTAATCCTAACACTGTAACAACGACATCACACTGCCTCAGACAAAACAGTTCTATGAGACTCTGGACCTACTTGGCTTAAGAGTCAAGGGGTTGGGGAGGATGACTCTTGTGTGGATAAACTTCCTAAAATTGTAACCAATGGTTCTTGAAAATAAATTCCTTTTGTGATTGAAAGGTCCCGATCTGGCCCACAGCTCAGGAGGCATGAAATTCTGGTCTGGAACACAGTCCCTTAGTCAGGAGGCATGAAATTCTGGTCTGGAACATAGTCCCTTAGAATTCAGTGGTCCCCAACCTTGGGCCTCCAGATGTTCTTGGAATTCAACTCCCAGAAATCCTGGCCAGCAGAGGTGGCGGTGAAGGCCTCTGGCAGTTGTAGTCCAAGAACATCTGGAGGCTCACAGTTGAGGACCACTGCTTTCGATGAGAGCTACAGGTTGAAACATTGCCAAGGTCAAAACACCACCTCCCTCCCTCCCTGCTTTAGGCATTACTGTGAATCCTGTTTTCTCTGTTTCCCCAAAATATCCAAGACGTCATTTGTTCTGCAAACAGCGGGGAGAAGAGGGCACGGCCACAATCCTGTTTTCTCTGTTTCCCCAAAATATCTAAGACGTCATTTGTTCTGCAAACAGCAGGGAGAAGAAGGCACGGCCACATCCTCTTAAATCACTGGAGGAATATTCAGCACTGAGGAGAGCATCCTTTTGACCATTCTGTAAGTTCTTAATACCAATAAAGGAGAAAAGTAAAAAACAACAACACATCTTCCCAGGAATAAAGGATCATTCACACCGTTTTCAGCTTCAACAAACCTTAACACAGCTAAGATCTCATCGGGCTGCCCTAAATTTACTGTTGTTGCTGTTGTTCCTGCTTACAGACATAAGAAATCTCCCCTGAACTTGGAAAAGTTATTTTCAGACAGGAGCGCCAGGAAAATGAAGGGTTACTGGTCATGCTGCCTGTGAGATTCTAGAAACTGGGTCCTGAAAAGTAATTTTTCTGAGCTCTAATGTTTCAGTCTGTAATTTCTCCAAATATTGTGCAGAATCGAGATGTAAAGAGCATGTATGAGTCCTCTTATGCAAACACAGCCACATATATATGGGTGGGGATGGGGGGTTTGGAGTTTGGCCAGCATCCAGACAGGTAGGAGCAATGGTCAGTGAAGATCGCTGGGTAGCTCAGTGCGATGGATACTTGGATGTGGAGCCAGAGGTTGGGGGTTCAATCTTCCCGTGTGTTTCCCAGGAGAGGATCCAGCCTGGGTAGCCTTGGGCAAGCTGCAGAGTCTCAAGGCACCCTCAGAAGAAGGGAATGATCAACCGTTTATGAGGAATCGATACCTTAGGGACCCTGGAAAGGGTAGCTGTCATTCAGGATGAGCTCCGATGGCACACAATTGTTATTGCCCACGAGCAGTGAGGGAGAAATAAACTGGAGAGTCCAGAGATTCATACTTGCAAGTTAAGAGGAACATGAATGTAATCATCTTGACTACATCCTCTTCCAGCCTTGGTGAATTCTCAAGAGTAAAACTGTGCAACCTCTATTTCCACATCTCTGTGAACGGAATGTGAAGCAAGCCCAAAAGTACCTTCGATTTTTAAATGCGTCACTTCCACATTCTGTGACACATTAACATTCATGAAAAATCACATTCGCCGGTGACTCATAGAAACGCAAGGGCGGACTGCGGGATCGTTTGTGGGAAATGCCCTTTGTCTTCCTCCCCTCCCTCGCCCTCCCCAAGCCTGCATTTGTCATTCTCCATACGCTCGGCGTTCTGAGGTTCCCTCAGAGGACTTCCCCCTCTTAAAAGTAGGATGCTTCCCACCAGATTCACCTAGCGGATGCAACCCTGGGCTTTTGCGCTGGCTGTCTTTCCCCAGACAAAGGATTCCCGGGCATGCGTGATTGGCAGGCCGCTGTGGAACGCCTTAAGGGGTGCCGCATAAAAGGAAGGCATTATTATTTTATAAGACATGCTCCAGCTCCAGCCAACCCTGTTCTTAGGACGGTGCAAGAGGGGAGATGGCTGAGATACAGCATTAACTAAGCTTTCCTCTTTTTTTTGTCTTAATGGATCTGTTGGAGGAAGACGGAGATTAATGTTGCGTCTCCGCATGTCTTCGATGATGGAGAATAGAGAGCAGTATAGTAGCAACCAGGAAAGGGAAAAAGCTATGGGAACCAGGCCTCACCCCACATATATCCCATGCATTGTCCCATCTACTGTTACAGTTTTCAGGAGAGGGAGAGGGAGACTGTATATCACTACATATCACAGAATCCCCCATCCGGTAAGTGCTGGCAATCAGAAGAACAAACTTTTCCAAGCTCTGTATATAAATAAGGAAAAGCAGGTACAGTAGGCAGCATGGATCCAGTGGCCCATATCTTACCTAATTGCTCACTAAGTAAGAATATATTTAAATATCCTTACAAGTGTCAGTGCAAGGGTAGGAACTTGTGGCCCTCCAGGTGTATAACTACAACTCTCATAATCCCTTACCATTGGCCATAGTGGGGAGGGCTCATGGCAGTTAAAATACCTGGGGAGCCACATACTACAGTATCAACCCCTCTGTTAGAATCTTTGGCCAATAGGCTGTTGTGGCTCCCCATGGACACAACTCAGATTAGGATATTTGGTTCAATGACCCATGCCCAGCCAGTTGTGTTGCATCCAACTGCACAGCTTTTTTGCCCAACCAATTGTGCGATAGACACCTTACCAAGCAGGACCTCTATTTGCATAATGGTTGCACATGCCGGACTCTACAACAAGACCCTAACCTCTGTCTCAGTGTCCCAGTTGTGCTGCATTCACTCCCTTCCTACCTCAGCTTCTCTGGCTATAGCCCGGAGATGTGAGTTTGTTTTTCATAGGCTAATAAAGAAAAATATGAATTCCCAGTTAATCTCACGGAATCACATCCAGGTTAGAGATGAAAAATGCGTGCCAAAATTACAGGAAATCAAAATTGATTTTCTCAATTTGAGCGAGAGAGGGATTTATCCCTAATCATACTGGGATGTTTCGATTTCTAACTTACTGGGTTTATTTCGTTCCTCGGTGGAGCGTTTGTTCCATCGCACCAATGTTCCTGTGTTAGTTTCTAAATTAACATTGAGTCGTTAAGTGAACTGTGAGTAGTTACACTCAACACAACATGTCGTGGTACTTTTATGTTATCAGGAGCCTAAAGCATAGTCCACTACTGGGATGTTTCGATTTCTAACTTACTGGGTTTATTTTGTTCCTCGGCGGACCGCTTGCTCCATAGCACCAATGTTCCTGTGTTAGTTTCTAAATTAACATTGAGTCGTTAAGTGAACTGTGAGTAGTTACACTCAACACAACATGTCGTGGTACTTTTATGTTATCAGGAGCCTAAAGCATAGTCCACGAGTGGCTCACAATGTTTGTTTCGATTTCTAACTTACTGGGTTTATTTTGTTCCTCGGCGGACCGCTTGCTCCATAGCACCAATGTTCCTGTGTTAGTTTCTAAATTAACATTGAGTCGTTAAGTGAACTGTGAGTAGTTACACTCAACACAACATGTCGTGGTACTTTTATGTTATCAGGAGCCTAAAGCATAGTCCACGAGTGGCTCACAATGTTTGGGCTAGAAGGAGCCTGCTGGAACTGGAACATCTTGGTCTTTTTTCTCCTTCTCTTTCTCCCAGCAAAACGAAGAAACTTATTATTAACCAATTCTTTAAAAAGTCTGACCCATTTTTCAACTTGGCATTTTCATGCTGGCAAGCAGGGCCCACAGATGGTTATATCTGGGATTTCTCCTACTAGGTAGCAAACTGAAATTCAGTACATCTGTAACGTGCAACCCTTGATTGGTTGGCTGGTTGGCTGCTTCCAAATCAGTTCCAATGCCTGGTGACCCTAGCAGGGCTTTCTAGGCAAATGAGATATTTCAGAATTGTTCTTACTAAAGACACCCACCGGTGAATTTCCATAAGTGAGCTGGAATACAAACTGAACTCTCTTAATCTGACACTCAGTTCCATTACACTACAATGGCTCTCATGTATGTATTACATAGTGGCTGGAATCCAGTAGTAAATCACAATTAAATTGAACTGAATCAGCGATGATCAGATAAATCAACTCCTCCACAAGTTTCATTTATTCAATAGTCCTACACCAGTTGCAAAGTACTAGTGGATT